GAATGAGATAGGGAGTCAGAAATCTGATTGGCATATAACAGTTTTGGAGAAAATTAGAACTAGTCTCTACTACTATGTGGCTTCACTGGGGGAGGAGCAAGGGATGCAATATACATTTTATTTATTTTTATTTATTGTGAAAATACCGTACAGAGGGGTTACAATCACTTGAGCAAGGTAATGAGTACATTTCTTATCAAGCATTGTTGCCTCCTCCTTTGTTTCCCCTTACCATCCCTTCCTATCTCTCCCAAGCCCATGAGAATGTAAGGAAAAGTCTTTGAAAATCTCTGGACCTACCTATGAATAGAGAACTTCAGTACAGACAGGCTATAAAATTATCCTAGCAAATTAATCTCTCCTTTTCCCAGTACATTCTTGGATTTGACTGGGTATATCTGATTTGTAGTCAATAAATTAAGAAGGACAGGTTGTATTAGCTTCAAAATTGGCTTAGTAATGCTGGAGTTAAATAATATCTTTGAGTGTTTGAATTCTACCTTTTCCAGACCAAGAACACAAGACTCGTAGAGAAGCATTTGACCCACCCGTATTTCTTTTTGGTTTTCTACATATTGCTACATATTGGTTTTCTGAAATTTACACACCTCATCTTTATAAAAACTTCGAGGCTGGAGATATGTATGTTCTTGCTCTTTCCAAGCGATACCTGCATATCCTGATAGAACAGAAGCCTAGGTTGGTGGGCACTAACGCTTGACTCATAGCATAATAAAATAAATAGTACAGCTATAGTATGTAACTGCAGCTATCCCAAACCTTTTCAGAGATAGCATTCAATGTTTAATGACCTTTTTCTAGGTCAAATGTATTTTCTTTTGACAAGTTCACTTTCAGAGGAAAGTACAGCACCATCATTTGCAGCTTGAACCTGTTGCTGGAGTAGGTAATAGCAGGCATCACTTAGGGTAAATGAGTCTCATGGGAGTGGCCAATAGAAGAATTCCAAAGATGGGCAGTAGGGAAAGAAAGGAAAGGTATAAATTTGAAGTGATTTTTTCCCCAAAAATAAATAATAAAAAACAACAATGATTTATATGATCACTGCCTTTTAGAAGATTGAATTAGAGGATCTTTGACAAAACTGAAAATTTAGAGTGTCTGAATCTTTTTGGACATCTTGGTAGTCTGAGAAAAGACAGGTCACAGAAAGATACTTACCATTTCTTGTGAGCTGGGGAGTAGAAACTCTCTCCCTTGGGAATCCCACTACTCAGGGGTTGCTCCTTCTATAGACATCATGCTGTCTGCTTTGGGGTATGGTTAGCCATAGCCTGATCAAACTTTGAAAAAAAACCCTGTAATATTTAATATTTCAGTTGTCTACTCTTCCCCTGCTATCAGTGTAGGATACCTTCAGGATCACTCAGTATTTGGAATGTGCTGAGGGGAAGTGACGACAATGAATTTGACAACAAGGGATACATGCATGATAGAAAAGGACAGCAGAAATACAGTCCATGAACAAAATTAAAAAGCTAATGAATCCATTCCTATGGTCATGTGTCTGTAACACAAATAGGACTTGGTCTCTTCTGCATAATAGATTCATTTTTTTGAAAAAAAATTGAATTTCCTAGCTGATCTTTGCTCAGGTTTACCAACAGGTAACATGACTTGGCCAAGGGAAGTATTTATGACAACGAAAACTGAATGCCAGTTGAAGGTCAGGATGAGAGCCAGGGTTGTATATTGTCAACCACAAAGTGATGACATGTTCCCCAAGTCTTGAAACTAAACTTAGAGCTTGTTCTGCTGCTCATGATAAGAGACCAAAACTCAAAATCAAAGGAAATTCCACATCTCCAGTTCCCAAAGAGTGAAAGAAGTCTTCACAGGGCTGAAATGAACTCTTGATGAAGGCACGTTTTGCCATTGTCAGAAAATGGAAGCCTTCTTATCTACCAGGGAAATGTTTCTAGTTTCTCCAACAAAGCACTCAGATATGGGCGGAACAAAGCTGTCAGTCTCACCTTATTCTGATATCTAAAGGATCAGGGACCTTGAGCTGTGCAATCACCAATGGATTATGCCTAGTACACAGAAGACAGTGTGGCTGTTATGTCCATGGAGAGAGGGTGTCACACCATCTGATAGCAAAGTTCTATCAAGTCTTCACTGGTGGAAAGATTGAATCAGAATCATTGAATAAGTTCATGTTTGCTCATTGTCACTGAGACAGCTTGCTTTGCTAGTGGTCATGGGTACCCTAGCTATTGAATTCCTCATCTTGCTCTTTATTTATGAAGTAAATACTGGCTACTAATTTTGTGTTAAACCAAATATTGTACCCAGGAAACATATTCATTGTTTGAATCAAGAAAACACTTTAATTGTTCTTTATTAGTACATTATTTATATAATGATAAAGGAAGGATTCTATGGGAAAGTTTAAAGCTATTCAGATGTATAAAGTATCATTTTCCTGTATCTGACACCTAGGTTCTATTATATTAACAGTTTGTATTTTTCCCCTACAAGTATTTATTTTATTTTTTGTTGCCACCCCTTCCTATTCTGTTTTGATTATAGAGACATGAAATCAATAACATAATTTAGATAGTCAGAATAAGACAGGAAGAAGTTCTATTGGCAATTAAAGGGGATGTAGTATAAAAAGCCCAATTAGTTGAGCATCCACTGGAAGGCAACTACATTCCCAATGATTAGTTCAGTTAGGATTGAATGACTTGAGGTTAATAACCTGCATGCTAAACTATTACCTGACCTGTACCTATTTTAGTTTATGTTCTGGGATACACAAAGAAGGAATAGAGAGCTATCCTCAAAGATTGTAAAAAGGATTGGTGAAATGGAGGGAACATTTATCCTAACTTTTGTAAGCTAGACAAATTTGCTGACATTGTATTTTCTTGGGACATTAAAAAGAATGTTGGATGGGTACAGAGCTGACATTTGGAAGAGCTTGCACACCCAATGTCTACTTTCTTTTGCATAAGGGTATCAACTGCACAGTAATATCTTTGTGGTCTTTATTTCTTCAGAACATGGAAACAAAATAAATGAAATAGATGACAATGAGGAGAAAACATTCTGTAGTACAGATTATACGGCATCACTAGTGATTAGATCATAAACAATTAGAAACTTTATTTTTCTGTGTCAATAATGTGTACCATTTATAAGGAACAGCACAATTAGTGCACTTTCCCCCCCAAAGCTGTGCACAATAAACACAAAATAAAATAATCAAACAAAATGAAATAATTTTACACAACTATAATAATTAATAACAACCCTGGACAACCAGAATATTTTCCCTATAGTTACGAAACTTGAAAAGGCAAACAAAATGAAAAGCTTTGAAACTGAAATTGATCAATAGTAAGAAATCTCTTAAACTCCTCTGTAAAGACTGACTACAGGGTTACTGACATTTCAAATATGGCTAAAAATGAGTGAGAGGAAATCTTCCTAGTGTTTAAACAACTTATATGCCTTGACTATTTTTATTCAATGTTTCTAGACTAGCCACCATTTTTTAAAATCTCAAAAAAAGAAAAAAGAGTTAGAATGGGCCCTCAAAGTAGTCACCAGTATTGAGAAGGGCAATGGCAGTTCAGGAATGGGTCACAGAAAAGGACTTTTGCCACAGAGAGAAAAGTTAGGAGTATCTGCGCCTTCTCAGTGATGTGTATCATCAACATGATTGCCCTTCTTGGTTTAAACTGGGTAGAGATGTACGTTTCTTCAAGTTGGTCAAACAAAACCCTTACCCTCTTTTAAAAAGTGTCTTGGATATTTAGGCAGCTGAATTTGTTCAGTTTTAGTGTGTTTGTGTTGAGTTTCATAATTTTTTTCTGTTTGCTTGACAAAACTATTTCAATATAGCTATGCTAACTTGTACTCATCGATGTGGCAATCACACTCACTGAGTAAATATCCCTGGAGACCAGGAATCCAGGCTGTCTTAGTTATGATCCAGCCATTGGGAGGTTGCACACGATCTGGCATACTGACTTGGCAACCGCTGCTTCATTGTTCACTCAATCTCTAAATGTGTATTGAAAGGATGAATGGTCATGATTACTGCATGGAAGAGTGAGAAAAGAAGTCTCAAGGGCTTATTCTGAAGTATTTTTGAATCAGTATGGAGGGCCAGGAATGCCTCCTGCCTGGGACTCCTTAGAGGTGAAGAAATCTGAGAGGTGAGCAGTCATTCCTTAGCTCCTCACTGGTAGAATCATTACTTTGGGATGTTGGGTTTGTCCAGCTCTTTGGTATTCTGACATAGAAAGAGCCATTCATTTTCAAGGGTTAAACCTATCTTCTGCAATCCTCCTGGGAGGTACTAATCTCATTGGATGGCCTTCTCTTTATTGTAAGTAGAGGAGACATATTTTGAAAGGCCCATTGGTCACTCTGGCTTCATTTTTACTCAGGGACTACTGACAAATTCAGAGGGATCTGGACTGGATAGGACAAGAAAGAGGGCTCAGAATAGTCTTTTACATGAAAGAATAAAATGAAATGAACAAACTAGCACTATCATCTGTGCCAGACAGAGCAGATGTGCAATAAATACTTGGGGGAACAGGGTGTTTGGGAACAGTGGCTCTGAAGATCCAGGCTCATCTAATGCATCCACTTCTCTCCAGTGCTTTTTTTCTTTGGCCTACCTGTATTAATAGGTGATTATGAGAGACCTCTGATGTGTTCCACATGGCTAATCTTCTGTGGGGAGCTTGGCAGCTGGCCTGCTATCCCCTCAATTGCATTAACATCTTCCACGTGACAGTTATTGCTTCTTAGATATGAGTGTGCAGATTCATGGATAGTAAGCCATTTTCCTCTTCTATCCCTAGTAATACTCAAACTCAGTAACAACACAAAAGTAACAACTCAGGTGAAAAGAAAAACTCATTTATGTCTTCAATGTCCCATCAACATTGCTGAATGAGAGGATGGTATTTGCTATACTCTACTATATACAGATAACGCATTGTTTTATTTATTTATTTTTCATCCATGCACTGTGTAACAAGTATCACAACAACATTCCCAAACAGGCACATGAAGAAGGAGCAAATGTTTAGTCATGAGTGCAACAGGACTGGGCAAGCTATGGATGCCTTACAAAAATAAAACTGATGGACACATCCCAGGCAACAGCATTATGGGGCTGGAACACATACTGATGAAAATGGAAAAGGATGATAGTCTTTTGAATAGTCTGTTTGCACAGAGCAGGGTAGGGAGGAGGAGGAGGATTGAAATGGGACACCTGGCGGGTTAGCTGGAAGGAATAAGGGCCTTGGCTCATCACAGTCCAGAGCTTAGAGATCAGAAAGGAAGGGTTTTTGCCTGTTTCTGGGAATCTAGGTACAAGGCTAATGTGTTGAACAAGCGTGCCAGGCACCATATCCTAGAGTTCTAGACTCTAGAACTGTGGCTTCCTGGCACCATTCCTGCTCCCATGCTTCTTCTCAGAGGCAGCTTCGTCTCTAAGCACATCCAGGAAATAATTGAGAAGTTTGGTAATATAGTGTAGAACACATCCTTCTTCTATGCCCAGATTCTTTCTTAATCCAAAGTAATGGACAAGTGTTTGGAAGAGGTGAGGAGACTCTTAATGATTTCAAATTTTACGTCAAGCCCGTGTATCTTTGGATGGGTCATCATGTTTCATAAAGAGAAACAAGAACCTTGACCCTCCCAACACAAACAATGCAAAGCAGAAACTAAACAAAACAGAAACAAAAGTTGAACATCAGAACATCAGGTACCTCCCCAACCCCACTGAAAACAAAATTAAAAACAAGAAAACAACCCAAAACCTTAGCCATTTCTGAACCTAGAGAGCATGCAGCCCTTCTAGACAGAGCTGCAAGATAGCCCTGCCTCCAGATCTTGTTCAAAATGACGATGCCCCGGGAATGGGAGGTGACGGTTTCTGACTTCGGCCCTAGTACAGAGTATGCTCTTGAAGCTGGATTCCATCAGCAGGTAAGTGAACATGACAAATGTCAGTGTCCTCTGTTCATTGTACATAATTTTATGTATATATATGTATATATATATAAATTTACTATATCTGATTGTTCCTTTAGAAGCCTTTTATGTGGCAGTAGGCCTCCAGGGAGGAGAATAAAATGTACAAGAACCACAGGAGCACAAAGAGGCTGGAAGTCATGATCTTGGCAGTCCGGGGCCCACCCAGCTCACCTCCAATTTCTGGCCTCCGTCGATACAGCAGCACCCCCACATTGATGAAAGCAAAAATGGTGAAGAGAGTGACAGAGAAAGCTAGCGTGCCGGGAGACACTTTGAACTGTTCCCCATTGGTCGCATGGTAGATGGCAGCAATAGACCAGGCCACGCCGATTCCCAGAAAGACATTCACCGCATTGCTGCCAGTGACGTTACCTATGGACGCATCTGCATACTGGTCCTGGATGGCTGCCACTTTGCTGGCGAATGTGTCTGTAAAGAAAGAAGAAAGAAGATGATGATGCTCCACCTCCTAAAGATGTTCATGGACGGTTGGGAGCTTTAACTGTGTAGCTTAGATTCAAACCCGGTTTATAAACCCAGTGACCTACCGTGAACTTCCCTGTTCCTTTGAGTCAGTATCAGGAACCAAGTGTGACTGACAGAGAAAAATGATGCTAGTCAAGTTCTTTGTCAGCTCATACCATAATTCTTTGTATGAGGAGCTAGTAGGATAGTATTTTTTTTTCAAAGCATAATCACAGCCTGGCAACTCCAGAATCTAGTGGGGCTCTCTTGAAACCTGAATATTATAAGGCTCTATCCAACTGTGCTGGGACATAATCCCTGAGGCCCAGAAATCTATTTTAGTAACATCCCTAAAGATTCTAGGTCACTACAGGTTGAAAGCAAAGGCTGAAGGTGATTTCTGAGAGATGCTGTATCAGCAGTTCTTGTTTATCGATGAGAAAGTTACGGCATTGGGACAGATTTCCAATGACTCAAAAAGCAAGTCAGTAGTGGAATCGAAAAGAATCAAACTCGAATAGCAGTTGGCATTTGCCTAGCAACAGGAAAGCAGTTCCCCTATGTTCCCACATTTGCTGCTATGATGATTCTATGGCATGAGGAATCTTGGCTTAGAGATGGTAAGGGGTAGAAACAACACTCCGCAAGTAAGGAGAAGCAAAGGCAGCACTGCAGCCAGCTCTAGCCTGTTGTCTTCAAGACTTAGGCTTGTTAACTGTGATTCCTTACCTTTTACTGTGCCTCAAGTACCAATGCCATAGGGACCAAGGAACATCCTCAAAGCTCTCTGTTCACCATTACTCCTGAATGTGTCTCTTGGTGAAGTGAGAAAAGTCATTGGTTTGCCACAGGAGGTAAAGCACAGCAGTTTCAGATCTGCCATCACCAGACTGTGTGTCTGAGGACGAACTCACTTCCTAATCTCTGAGATGGGGATGCTAATCTCCACTTCAGCTTATTACTGTTAAACTGAAATGTTCCAGGAGAAGTGCTTGTTGGTAAGAGTTTAGCTCTTTTTGTGTTTTTTTTTTGGAAAGATAATGTAAAAAGAGTACTCTGGATTAGTTTAATGCTGGGGCAGGACAGGAAATTCCATTAAGCATGAAAACAGAACTTGCAGGGAACTCCTTTTCTTACCTATGTGATGACTAGTTATTGACATCCATTTCCTTTCAGCTAGTTTTTTCAAAATGCCTTGTGCAGTAGGCTTACAGATGTTAACAATGGTCAGGGTGAACTCACATCTGCAAAGCCAGTAATAGCAAGTATTACAGAACTCCCAAATGCTGCATCATCTACTCTCATCTTCCTGAGGCTCCTGGCATGTTCTGTGCCCCAATATACAGCTGTACAATACCTGATGAGATTTTTCTCTTTGCTGCTCTTATTTTTGCCACACCCATTCTTGGTAAGCCTCCAATGCACCCAAAACTTCTAGCTCTGGGACTATCAAGGGGCATAAGGAAAAAGAGAGGAAAAAAGTAGATGGTGAATAAATTCTAAATATATTGAAACTATGAAAGAAGATGGCAAAAAGAACCTCAAGGAAAAACTTGCACCCAAAAGGTGCAAGTTCATACCACCTGTAGACTCTCTGTTTATGACGAGTAAGAAGGCGACACAGGTTGATGAGAGGCCATGTGGTAAGATGTTCTTTCTGAAAGGAAGTTGGTCAGCCTTGGAGGCCTGCCTATCTCATGGACTCTGATCACTATCTGGGATGGATAGCAGGTTGTATGCCCCTTTCATAAAGAAATGGAAACAATGAAGATCTGGTACATTCATCTCAGAAAGGTATAAAATCATGTTATGTGGAGAAAAAACAGATGGAGGGTTGGGAAGGTGGCTCAGTGGTAGAGCGCTTACCTTGCATGCATGAGGCCCTGGGTTTGATTCCTCAGCACCACATAAGCAAAAAGAAAAAAGCTGGAAGTGGCTCTGTGGTTCAAGTGGTAGGGTGCTAGCCTTGAGCTGAAGAGCTGAGGTACAGTGCCCAGGCCCAGAGTTCAGGCCCCACGACCGGACCAAAACAAAAAAAAAAGAAAAACAGATGGAACTGGGGTTTATTATGTTGCACAAGATGAGACAAACTTTTAAGTTTTTGACTTTAACACCAAATATTGGGTGTTTTCCCTCATTTGTGAAAGCTAGACCTAAAGGCATGATTCCAACTCTGGGACTATCGAGGGGCATAAGGGGAAAGAGAGAGGAAAAAAAGTAGATGGTGAATAAATTCTAAATATATTGAAGCTATGAATGTTCAATATGAGGTTGAGAGGATTGGGAAAGAGAAAGAAATGGAGAGAAAATAATAGAGAAAGCAACAATAGAGGTTATTCTGATTAAAGCATATTATAATGACATCTGAAATAACATGGTGAAACTCCTTTATACAATTAATATATACACAAAAGAAAGAGCATAATAGGAAAGTAAAAGAGGCTCTATTGGGGGAAAAGCAGATAGAAGAGGAGGACGAATGAACATGGCAAGTGAGAAGAAATATGGTTCAAGTATTAAAGAGGGCAACAAGACCTGCTGAAATTACTTTAAAAGAGGAAAGGGGTTAAGAGAAAGTTATACAGGGGGTGAATATGATCAGAGTATGTTGTATGCGTGCATGGAAATGTCACAATGAAATCCCTTCTTTATAAACAATGAATATTAATAGAAATAAAGAAATGAAGGCTAGAGGTATGGCCCAAATGGTAGAGACTGCCTAGCAAGCACCAGATCCTGGGTTTAAACCCCTAGTACTGTCCTCTCTCTGCACCAGATACTGCTCTGCAATGAGATTATGTGTGTGTGTGTGTGTGTGTGTGTGTGTGAATCCATATATATTATATTTATGTGTGTGTGTGTGTGTGTGTGAATCCATATATATTATATTTATGTATGTACTTATTATTTTCCCTAACATCCACAGTTCTTAGGGACTAGACATTATTAGCATTCTTTTATAATCTTGGAAACTGTGACATGGTGATATTACGGCCCTTGTTCAAGACCTTGGACAATATAGTGAATTTTCCTATCGAATATATTTGATTCTCAAATGTGTGAGAACAGGCTTTGAGAATGGGCTTCCTCTAAAGACTAAAGGTTTTCTTTGATCTCAGTCTATTCTAGGTTTTCCTGTTGCATCCACTTAGAAATTACAAAGATTCTCCTCAGATGGTTACTCATACAAAAACTGAAAGAAGACACAGGTGATTTGCTGATCTGCCCTCTGGACTTCGGCTTCTACGTGCTTCTGTGCTCTCACACTGCAGCCCAGTCATGATGGCTGCAGACTTTGGCGAGTTAAAGCAAAGCTAGACAGATCTTAATGGTTGTGTGCATTTCATGGTGAAGAGTTATTAGGAGATGCTGCAACAAAAGCCTCAATAAAGAGAAGAAATAACTTTGCTTTCCTTCTTCAAGGACAGGCAGCAGAGTAAAGGAATAAGAATCCTAGGAAAAGCAGCTTATGGCTTGGCTGCTGCTAGGAGCACCTGCCCTTATTTGGAGTGAAGGAGCTGCTAGCGCTAGCTGGTGGTGACAAATGGCTGCGTTAGGTGGGGCAGCTGAGGGGAGGGGAGATTCCCTTCCATGCTCTAGAGACCCATTACCTAGGTGTTCCAATGCACAGACCTCCTTCCCTCCCCTGGCGTGTGACACACCATACAGGATGTGATGCCCTGAACTCCTTGGTGCTCTATCTCCATTCAGAACCCCTGGACTATCCAGATAGACATCTCTGCCTCCTCCCCAGACTCCTGCATTGGTGGGCTCCTAAAAACCCCATCCAGTCCTTGAGGCTGGAATGGCAAACACAGCATGTCTGCAGTACTTTCTTCTCTCTCATTCAATTTTTCAATAACCTATTTGTGCAAATATTACATAAAAATATTACTTAAAAGAACAGGTTCCTATTTTCAAATGTCTTCCTCTGGAGTCCCTAAAAATTTGTTAGCCAAGGTGATAAGCTTGTTACATAAATAAAACATGTTCTAGGTTTTATTCATCTGGGTTATACAGCAGACCTTTACGTCTATTTTTATTTTCAATTCCAAAGCTATATTAAAGAAAGAACATGCATATTCAAAACATGAACCTTAGCTCTGACAGCGATATATCTGATTTCCAAATGAAGTGTGATGGATTCTCTCCAAATCACTTTCACTTGCTGCTTTGCTGCTGAGCACACGGAGCAATGCACTACTCAGCATATATCAGGTGCTTCCAAGGCATACCCCAAACGCTAAGTCCGGAACCTGTCTATGGCCGAACAATGCTGTCCTCCAAAGGGAAACCCAAGACATAACTTCTTCCTTGGTCTCTAAAGGGACATGCTCATATCCAGAGCTTGGCTTATTAAATGCAGACATACAGGCATCAGCTGTTCAATTTAAGACATGTTAACAATTGCATACATGTTTTCTTATGTATACACTCCAAGCCAGACTTCTAAGTTTGTGCTTTCAACTCCTACCCTGAATTCCAAAAATCATTTGGATTAGTTGACCCCATATTCTTAGTTCACATGACTAAATCAATAAGAGAGAAGGGTTGTTTAAAAGGCAGTATGGCTGGCATTAAGCCACACATCATGAAGTTCAGACATAATTGCTCTCTGCAGACCTCTTTCAAATTCACTGTGCATAACTTTGGCCAAGTCATCTGGTCAATATGCAAGAATAATACCTTTCCTGTCTTCCAGGAATTTTTACCTGTACTATACAAACTTTATAGCTACAGATAGACTAAGCCTTGAGCATCTCTTCTATAAGATGGGTGTTGTAGGTCATAGGAGGTTTCTGTATTATCTGAGGCAAAAATTTCATCACAGAGGTTTTATCTTACTTTCCAGCTCTTAGCATGCTCCCTGGACTTGCTGCCCAACTCTGAAGTGATATGCATTCAGGAAATGAGCCTGGAAGTGATTATAACTGCAGTCCAGGCTGGGGATGGCGATTCAGTTG